GTGTGTGTGTGTGTGTATATATATATATGAGATATATGCATATTATATACACATATGATATACATATATGTATACAATATATATACATAGATACGATACATATGTATATATATACATACAAACTGCAATGTATATATGTATATATGTGATAGCTAAGATAATTGCAGTACTAATTTTTATTGGTTTATTGAATGGAATAGTTAATGCTTAATTTTTTTTGACCAATTTTACATGCTTATGTCTGGTAATTTGAACAAGTACTTTGGAGATAACAATATGCAATATAACAACCACTGTTAATTTCCTATTATCTTGTTTTGAAATTCTGTAGTGTTTTTAAATTTTTTTTTTTTTTGGTACCTGGAATCGAACTCAGGACCTTGACCTTGCCAGGCAGGTGCTTGTGTCGCTGAGCTATTTCCCCAGCTCTTTTAATGATTTTTAATTGTTTATTCTCTTTAAAATAAAAATTAAAGTATTAAAAAATAAATATATCCAGAAGCAAAAATTTCAATAAGATCCTTTCCCTACCTTTTAATTGTTTTTGGCATTTTTACGTTACTTTCTTTATAAACCAACCCAGCTTTATAATTTTCGTATTTTTGAATTGCTTTGGAGAAATATAAAAGATACGTCTCAAAATTATATAATGATATATTAAGCAAAAATTGGCTAATATGCCAGCCAACAGTAAATATTAAAATCAAATTTACAGTTAGATGCTTTGAGTATATGGTGCACTGAATTTTTCACTCTGTTGACTTTTTAAAAGCTCTAACAGAATTGAAATGGCAAATAAAATCCTTAGTTGAAGAAATTAAGAAAATCCTACAAAGGCCTTTATTAGAGAAGTCAAATAATTGCACTCTCACACTATGTTACATGCTTAAATAACTATGGTCCTATTCTTCAGTTAAGCTGTTGGACTGCTTTTATAATCTCTTATTTCAACTTGTTACATACCAGTTAGCAATGTCCTTGTGAGCAACTAAATTTTGAAGAAATGCTTGTAATCCTAATTGTCTATCTTCTAAGAAATCAGCATTGTAGTTATTTTTAAACCAGCGTTTTGGTGGAAGTGCTAATCGAAAGCCTGGAAACATCTCTTTCAACTGAAAAAGAGAAGAGAAAGTACGATGTTTAACTCAATTATACCAATTCCATAAAATCTACTTCATTCCCCATTGATTACAAAATAAGTTTAAAATAATTAAATACAGCTAAGTTTTTTATGTCTTATTTTGATTTCTACCACGCCAGTTTTATGTAAGTTTTAACTGCTCCATATTTTTGTCAAAATGTGGCACTGTCCATCTTTAATGCTGGCCATACCAGTGGGTGTGGTAGCATTTCACTGTGGCTGTAATTCCCATTTCTCTATTGAAAAACAGTGCTCCATAACTTCTCACCTGCTGATTTGTATGCATTTTCTGGTGAATTATCTATTGAAATCTTTTAACCACTCCCTTCTCTTTTTATTAAGTTGTGAGAGTACTTTATTGAATCCACATATGAGTGCTTTGTCAGATATATGTATTAAACATGTTTTCTCCCAAACTGATGTTTGACCTTTAAGCCTAATCAGAGCATGTTTTAAACTTTAATGTTAGTTAACTCATCTCCTTTTCATTTTGTGCTTTTTAAGGTAGGAATTTTTGCTCATTCTAAGGTTGCAAAGAGTTTCTTCAGTGTTTTTCTCTAGAAATTTATAGTTGTAACTCTTATATTTTTGTTTATGATCCATCTTGCACATTTGGCTTTGATTTTACTTTCTTAGGGAAGACCTTCCTGACCTGTGAAAACAGGTTAAACTTCTCTTCATATATTCTGTTCAAGATACTATAAGTGTGCAACAAATGACCCCAAAACTTAGTAGTAAGAACTACTCATTAAAGTCATGGATTCTGTGCGCCAATAATACATCACAGGTACAGTGAGAAGGACTTACCTCTGTTATACAGTGAATTGAGGACTCAACTAGAAGACCTGAGAACTGGGAGCAAGAACTGTCTGAAGATCACTTATATGTGTAAGTGGCTGATATTGGTTCTTGGCCAAAACCTTTTGGGGCTGTCAGCTGCAAGCCAATATGCGCGTTTCCATGCGCCATGGGCTTTCACACAGAATGGAAGCTAGACTTCAAAAGGCAGCATTCCAAAAGACAGCTAGGGTAAAACTGTGTACTTACTATGATCTAGACTAGGAAGTCCCATGGCATCATGTTTACTGTCCTCTATTGGACCAAGTAGTTACAAGCTCACATAGGTTCAAGGGGAGGGGACAGATTCTACCCCTTAATGGGCAGTGACAAGACTGAGGGAAAGCAGTGGGGATTGAAGGCACTTGCGATTTTTAAGCAGACACTCTGCCGTGCACTGCTAAAATATTAATGTATATTTCAATGATGTTTATCATAATGTAAATCATATTTATCTAATTTTGATTTCTCCTATTAGTTGAATGATTCTAAACCTTAGCTGCATACTAGAATCACTCGAGGAGTTTTGAAAGATACAACTATGACCTACCTCTACAGATTAGGATTTAATTCGTTGGAGTGTGGCCTGGTTATTGTGATTTTAGAAAGCTTTCTAGGGAAGTATGAAGCACAATGAAGATTGAGAACCATTTCAGTACACTGCAATAACTGCCTTATCTCTAGTTGCATTCTCAATGTCTAATATAGTGGTTGCTATATAAAAGCAGTAAAAAATATACGTTCAATAAATGAGTGAATGAAATAAATCCATGTACATTCACCATTTTTATATTTAAGTATAAGACTAAGTATCACAGCTATGAAAAAAAGACCAGGAAGAAGGGAAAATGTATAAGGCAAAAAGAAAATATAAAATGTAACATTCTCTATTTCTATAAATAGCTGAAGAAAAAAAGCGAGAAAAATTAGAAATCAACTTGGATAACTGAAAACTGATTTGATTTCAAAATATAAACATATTTTGTGCCTTGGAGTCTTATTTTATATGTCTACAAAGAAAATAATGACAGTGATGAGGAAATACATCTTTACTAGTTTTAAACTTAACAATTTAAGTGTCACATATGTCCAAATATATGGTTAATTTCTTTCCTCTAAAAAATTATTCATGGAGGAAAGGGAGTAGTTGTAAAATGGCTATTTAAGAAAAGACTTGGGATAAAGGAAACAAAATTCAACAAAGGAAAGGAGTGTCCCCAGAAGGACAAATGATAGGCAAAGGGATGCCACTTATGGACTACAGATTGAGGGGAAATAGTTCAGGACAGAGCAATAACTTGGGACACAGGCATACTGAGGCCAGCCTAGCGTTGAACTTTTCAATGTGAGAACTAAATATGAGGGTTATCTGAGCTTGGCTTATCCTGCGAATGAGCTGGTAACATCCTGCTCCCTCCTGCCTTTCCAGTCCTGCTGCCTGGACTGAAAATGCTCATTTTATCACACAGAAGTGTTCAGTTCGACCAAGAAGTAGAAAGTACTGAGTTCTAAAATTGAATTTATAGAAAAACCCACTTCTCATTGTCATATTTCTGCAACTAATGCCTCATCCAGCCCACCCTACAACACTTTCCACTGCCTCAACTCAGAAAAGGCCTACACAGTCGACAACTTGTTCAGAATGGCTCTGACTTCCTCAGCACAGATGCTTAGAAAACTCCCAAAGACACGGAATCAGAAATTAAAAAAAAAAAGAAAAGAAAAAGAAAAGAAAATCAGTGTCCTACAGAAACTTTTCCCTAACTAGTATTACTTGAACTATGTTCAATAATTTTCATATTGTCGATTGGCTATTTTTTCTTCATAAATATGATAACTGAAGAATGTAAACTCCTTAAAGTTAGGATGGTATCCACAGGGTTTCTATATTACCTCAAATTCCTAGCACAATGCTGAATTCAAACCACTTACTACAAAACATTTCATGACTAATCTTGTAAGATTCTAAGATTTTACTTTATTTTTAACAATTACATTTAACTGTGGACCAGCTGGGATATGACATACATTTTTTTTTTTTTGGTTTTTCTCCGGTACCGGGAACCGAACTCACGACCTTGCGCTTGCCAGGCAGGCGCTTTGCCGGTGAGCTAAATCCCCAGCCCCTGACATACATTTTTTTGATCTTGCAAGTAAACTATACTGGTGGATAGAGCTCTCTTTGGTATCCCACCCATGGCTTTTGCCTCCCATGGCTTTCAGTTTCCCATGGTCAACTGTGGTGCCAACTATTAAATGGAAAATTCCATCAATAAAATTCATAAATTTTAAACTATGTGCTGCTTTGAGGAGTATGATAAAAATCTTATTCTATTCTGTTCCAGTGAGATCTGAATTATCCCTCTGTTCAGCACATTCACATTGTATACCCTACCTGCCAGTTAAATCACTCAGGAGCTTCTCTGGTTATTAGATGGACTGTCATGGTATTGCAGGACTCTGTTCAAGTACTCTAACACTATGTACCAATGCCTATCTCACTCAACTTGCTTCACTTTCATCTCATGAAGGTATTGTTTCATCTCACAACACCACAAGAATGTTGAACGTAGTACAATAAGATCTTTTGAGAGAGACCACACTCACACAATTTTTATTATAACATATTATTATAATTGTTCTAGCTTATTATTGTTTATTTCTTACCATGCCTAATTTATAAATTGAACTTTATCCCAGATGTGTACATACAGGAAAAAGAAGTGTGTACAGGATTTGGTACTATCCGCTGTCAAGCATCCACAGGGTATTCTAGAATGTAGTCTCAGAGAATAAGGGCTGACACTGTGTAAGACTGACACAGACTTTTACTAATAATTTTAAGTGCTCAACTTAGAGAACAAGGAGATATTTAGTAAACTTAAACTTCTATTAACATCTTTCTTTGAAATGCTTCAGTAATCTCAGCTTGCAGAACAAACATTTTAGTAATAAAGGTCAATCTAGAGTGAGAAAGAAAACTAAGAACTTAAGATTAAATAGCTCTAATTGAAACTGTCCAAAATAAGTCTGAATGAGTAAAATAATGATTATATAAGAAAGCTAAGAATTTTACTTAAATATCTGGGAACTTTATAAATTGCTTTGATCTTCCTGTTATTTAATCATTAAAAAAAATCAACATAAGTACAGAACTATGGGTTCTTAACTTATCAGTATAATATATAAGGTTTAGGGACAATAAAGAAAATATAAATGGTACAGATATATTAGAAATAATACTTTAAACTCATTCATGTCTCATATACACCACATATATATGTATAGATAGATATAGATAGATAGTAATTTCATATAATATTTTTAGTGTGCCTACATTCTGACTGTAACCTATCACAGAAGTTTTCACTGTGGTATTATGCCAGCATTCAAAAAGTTTAGGATTTTGGAGCATTATCAATTTCCCATTTTTGGATTAGGGATGCTTAACCTATATAAAAAGGCATCAAGATTATATCTTAATAAAAGATACAACAGCTTAGCATTCTATATTTTACATTTTCTATATAAATTGAGGTGTTCAGAGAAGCAGAAACTTTTTGGCAGCTAGATAGCTGTGAGGTCACAAAAATGCGATTCCCAACAACTAACCACTGAAATACACTAACTTTTTAAGTTTTAAGTAGCCCAAGAAAAGAGGGAAGGGAAGGCAGCAAATGGAAGAGAATAGTATCAGTAAGTTTTCTCTATTAAATACCTGTCAAAACTGGAGAATAGCTTCTGGATGTTCTAAGGTCATCTTACTTGTCCTCTTAAAAGCATCATAAATCACTTGCTTCTTTTAGAACAATGTTCTCTGTTGTCTTCCAAAGTATCAACTACCTCCCACCTGTCTCATCTGATTTTCCTCAAGATCTGTGGGAAGTTCTGTCCTTCCTTTTCCATTACATTTTCTAACTGCACTTAATTCCTCACTGTTACAAATTTAGGTTGGTTCTAATTTTTCATTATTAAAAACAAAGCAGAACACAAACAAACAAAAGCACTATATATGAAACACTGAGATAAATATCCTTACAGCTAAATCTTTTCAATATTCATGATTGTTTATATATAGCATAAATCCTACAAATGTGGTTGTGTTAAAACTACACAAAATGTAATAGTATCCTCTAGGAAGATCTGCATTTCCAGCACTGGATAATACCATTTAAATGTGTGGCAATCTGCTGGTGAAAATGGTTTATTTTTGTTTTCTTGGAGTATGTGTCATATAAAATGTTCTCAGATATACCAGTCATTTGCATTTCTTCTGTGAATTACCCTGCTCTTGTCATTTTTATGTTTTTACTTTTGGGTTCATGTTTAAGAGTTCTTAACATATTAAGGCTTATTATTAATCTGTTTCATATATGCAATAGGCAGATTTGTAGATAGTTTCATGACCTTTGCCTTCTGTCATTTTTGTTATGTTACACAGCAAAGGAGATTCTGCAACTAATTATAAGGTTACTAATCAGGTGACCTTAAGATAGGGAGATATCTGGGTGAGCCTAATCTTATCACATGAGCCATAGTGTTTTCTCTGGCATGTGGCATAAGTGAAAGCTAGAGGGATTAAAAGCATAAGGTGGACATGGCCCACTGTTGGTGGCTTTGAAGGTGTGCAGGGAATGCAGAGCAGTCTCTATGAGCTAAGAATTATCTCTGGCTGGCAGCCAGCAAAACAACAACGCCCTTGGTCCTACAACTTCAAGAAACTAAATTCTGCCAACAACCTGAATGAGCCTGAAAGCTGATTCGTCCCCAGAGACTCCAGATAACAGCCTAGCCCAGTGAAAAGCTTGATTTTGAGCTTGCTTGATTGTAAAAAGCAAGCTGAACCCATCTGAATCACTAATGAGCAGGTGCTATTACATGTAACCAGGTTTGTGATAATGGTAGCAAAACTAATATGTTAAAATATTTTTTGTTTACTCTTTCATAGTCATATGGATTTACAATAAAGTGATCTTATATAGGTCTGTTTCAAACCAACAAGATTACATAAATAACTTTACAAATTGAATGTTAAAGATTTCACACTTTCCATTAAAGTAATTTTTTGGAATAAAAATGAAGGTCAAGATAGGATTTAGGGCTATTAAAATGAAATGAAGCATTTAATTTTCTCATGAACTAGCAGAGATTTGACTTAATTCAAATAACAAGGGAAAAGATACAAATATAAAATAAGTATAGGGGAAAGATAAATAACTCACATTTAAAAGGCACTTTGGGATTTAGTGAAGTACTTACTTTGTCATTAAGCCTAGAGAAGTCAGTGTATCTTCTGAAAACTACCCAACTTTCTTCTGGGGTTTTCTTTACTAGTATTTTATATACCTAGAAAGAGAGTGAGGGAGGGGGAGGGGGCGAAGAGGGAAAGGAGGAAAAGTAAAGATATTCAAACCAAATATTTGAAAAACTTCTACTTGATAATGCAAACTATCATACTTATTTTGCAAAAAGCATCAGAAATTATTCAGATTGTCAGAAGTACAGATAATCAACAGAGGTAGAAAAGGAAAATTTTTTTGAGAAATATTAATATGACAAATTTAAGACAAAAGGCTTTCTCTGTACACACTACAGCTAACTCATCAGCTTCCAAAATGTTTTATGTCAACATATTTTAAAACTGAGAAAAGAATCAATTGAGCTTGAACAAGGTACAAAAATAGCTATTTTGCCCAATATAATTTGCAAATTTAGTATCTATCAATGTTTACAAATGTCCATGTATATTTGTATAATTATCTAGGGTACTGATTAGAAAATTTGGTTGATGTAAGACCATGTATCTTTAAAAAACATGGAGAAAAACACAGAATCTATTTTTAAAAGTATAATTTTAGAATTTATTATGAAGAAGTATTATTTATGACAGAATCTCAAACAAATATCTAGTAGTTTCGAGGATTCTGTTAAGCTAACATACAAGGTACTGTGTATCTGCTGAATGAGTGAAATTCTTAATTTTTACTTGTCACCCTAGAGCTGCACTTTAGACACATGTGACTATTGGACATTGGAAAAATGACCAGTCCAAACTGACATACACAGTGAGTGCAAAATACACACAAGATTTCAAAGATAGTATGAACAAAGTTGTAAATGGCTTTATTAAAATGGATTCCTAATGATGACTTATTAAGATGATAATATCTTGAACATATTAGATTGAATAAAATCTTATTAAAATAATTTCACTGGCTTCTTAGTTTTTTTAACATGATCACCAGAAAAATCTACAATTACAAATGTGTTCACATACTTGTAATGGACAGCTGCTTGGGGAACAAGTCATTTAAGGCCTGTAGACAGTCCTTCCCATTTACATTTTCTGCTATACAGACTGTTTTCTTCAGCTTTTACATGGGAGAATCAATGAGGTTAAAAGTGAATTCTTTAGCTCTGAAGTAAAAATCATGTAAGTTACCATTGTAACATATAAGAGTGTGGGACAAGATTACTTGGATATCCTTTAAAGACTACAAAAAGTCCTGACTTCAGAAAAATCACAATGTGGACACAGAAGAAAATTAGTTTTTAGGAATTAGTCATTAAAAACGAGATGAACTGATTCAAAATTTCTGAATATAAATGACTGACAAAACCAACTTCATGTGATAATTAGGTTAATCTACAAATAACCCACACTGATTTTATTTTCTGTTTCAGAAAATAATATTCTCCTCAAACCAAGCCATTCTCTACTGTAGCCCTAAACACTCCTAGTTCTTTAAGAAAGATGAAGTACTTTTATGATTTACCTTTCATAGAAAACTTTCTTTCAACCTTTCCACTTGTTTA